CAATTCAAAATGGATCAAAGACCCTAATGTAAGATCTTGAACCCTAAAACTGCCAAAGGAAACATAAGGAAAACACTTCAAGACACAGGCATGGGAAAGGACTTCCTGAAAAGGATGCTAATAGCACAGAAAATAATATCAAGAATTGACAAGCAGGGCTGTATGAAATTTTAAAGCTCCTGCACCTCAAAGAAGATAATCAGCCAAGGTAAGAGACAGCCTACTAATCATAAAAAAAAAAATCTTCATCCATTCAATACATAGGTTAATAAATAGAACACACAGTTCTCAAAAGAATAAATAGTAATGGCCAATAATGGTTTGAAAACCTATTCAACATCCTTAGCCATCAAAGAAATGCTAATTAAATATCCTTTGGGACTTCATCATATCCCAGTCAAAATAACTAACATCAAGAAAACAAATAACAAAATAATGCTGACAACGTGTGGGGATGGAGGAACCCTCATTCCTTGCTGTTGAGAATGCAAACTTGTGCAGCCACTTCGGAAATCAGTGTGGAGGTTCCCCCCAAAACATTAAAAACAGAACTATCACACAGCAGCTGTATAAATGCCTGAAGGCATCCGAGCCTGTCATCAACACATCTCACATCACCTTTACTGCTGCGCTGTAATAGCTAAGATATGGAGCCAGCCTAAATGACCATTATCAGAAGAATGAATAGAGAATAGGTGACAGATACTCTTAATATATACACATATATGTATACATACACATATTAGAGTTTTATTCAGCCATAAGAAAAATAAAATTATCTCATTTGCTGGAAAACAGAATTGGAGATGACTTATGCTAAGAGAACTTATGCTAAGTCAAATAAACTAGGTTCAGAAAGACAGATAGTGTTAGTTTTCTTTCATATGCATGACTTAGATTTAGATACAAATATCCTTTATGGAGAAATACATACATGGATACAAATGGGGACAGAGAGAGAAGAGGTTCAAAGGGAGGGAAGAAGAAACCAGAAAGCACAACACTGTGGGGTTAAAACAACAAAAACCATAATTTCTCTCATATACAGCATTTAGATGCATAGATGGATGGTTAGATAGACAGACACATACATACATACATACATTTGTATGTATAGATACATACACAATTGCATATATGTGATGTGAAATCACGGGGGAACCACTTGGGGCAAGTCAGCAATGATGGGCAGCAGAGGGTAGGTGAGGATGGTAGGGACAATAAAGATACATGTGTGAAAATATCATGGTGAAACCCATTATTTTTCATACAAGGAGCACTGCCTGCTCTTCCAGAGAACCCAGATTCCATTCCCATCTCACAACCATCTGTAATTCCACTCCCAGGAGATCCAATGCCCTCTTCCAACCTCTGCAGGCACCAGGCTTGCAAGTAGTACACAGCCATACACGCAGGCAACACACCCATACATGTAAAATAAAAATTTAGCCAGGCACGGTGGTACACACCTTTAGTCTCAGCACTTGAGAAGCAGACAGGCAGATCTCTGTCAGTTCAAGGCCATCCTGGTCTATATAGCAAGTTCTGGACCAGCCAGGATGAGACCTTGTCTTCTCTCTCTCTCTCTCTCTCTCTCTCTCTCTCTCTCTCTCTCTCTCTCTCACACACACACACACACACACACACACTTAATGTAAACACTTAAAAACATCCAAAATAAAACAGAAAACCAAAGTGCTCCTTAGTCTTACAACTGTCACAACGCTTGAGAAGAGCAACAGGAAAAGTCCCTGGATTTGGAGAGGTAGAGCTGTTTTGAATTTGTATCTGTCTCCCAATTAGCTGAGACAACAGGTGACCACCATGTCCATGGGTCCAGAAAAAAAAAACCATTGTATTCTTAAGATTAGATGAGTTTACAGGTACATGCATGTTTCCAAGTTAATTTCCTCACCTTTTCTACAAGATGGAACTGTAATTTTCAAGAAACTCTCAGGACGATTGTCTAATACTTCAGATCCTACCAGACAATATGCTTCTGGGGACCAATTCAAGTAGATGCCCTGTCGCCAATACATTCTGTTCGGGCGGAGTGCTCTCTCTGAAAGTTTAATGCATAAAGATTCATATGCATCCATTAGTTATTAACTACTTCATTACCTAAATGGGAAAAAATTGCCAGTAATACCTTAAGTAACAGTAATACATATTTGTTTTGAAATGAGCTTTGATTGATTAAATTATGAGTCCTCCAAATGAATTTTAATTTTCTTTAATATTTCAATCACATAAGTTAATGCTTTGTATACTACTTAATATGCAGTGCAAGCTCATGATAAGGAGTGTAAGACGAATCTTAAAAGATCTTATTAATAAAAAAAAAACCTGGAGCCATATATTGGGATAAATGCTGAAAGATCAGAGAAACAGAATAAGCCCCAGCCAACCTCACCTTGCCAACTCCTCAGTCAATTCTGTTTCCACGAATCCTCATACTGAAAGCCTCTGAGTCCTCACCCCTGAGGGGCTCAGTTGAACTGTTTAAAAAACCTCTAGTTCCTGGTCTTCACGCTTTATATACCTTTCTGCTTCCTGTCATCACTTTCTGGGATTAAAGATGTATGTCTTTCCCAAGCAAAGACATGAGATTTCAAGTGCTGAAATTGAAGGTGTATACCACCACACCTGCTTCAGTTCTCAGTGTGGCCTTGAACTCACAGAGATCCAAGTGGATCTCTGCCTCCCAAGTAGTAGGATTAAAAGGTGTGTCTGCCACCACTGTCTGGCCTCTATTTCTAATCTAGTGGCTGTTCTGTTCTTTGACCCCAGGTAAGTTTACTGGGGTGTACAATATATGGGGGGATACAATATATCACCACAAAGGAGTTTGACATGGTTAATATACAAATAATCACAAGTAAGTTTTCATAATTTTTGTAAAAATCAATTATATTAATACCATTCTTGAACTTTTAAATGTATTTTAACTACTTTTACTCATTAGTACCAAGAAACATAAAGTTTTTTTTTTCAGAAACCAGTAACATTTGTAGTTATCTTTTGTCCAAAATCCACTGATAGTTTCCTGTAGTGTTACAATGCCTCTGACTCTAGAAAGAAAGCTTACTACATAAACACAGTTTTGCCCTTTCTCCAAGTCCCTGGGAGAGGAACAGCAGAAGTTTGGGATCAGAGCCTCTCTCAAAAAGCCAAGACCTGTTAGGCTTGCTGAGGAAAAGCCCCTCTTTAAATGTCTGTGATGTGTGTGTGTGTGTGTGTGTGTGTGTGTGTGTGTGTGTGTACACATGTGGGTATGTGTGTGAGTGTGTATGTATGTACACTTAAATCAATGGCTCCCACTAAACCCCATCTTTTAAAGCTATATGATTCCTGTTTGTTAAGTCTTGTGAAGTACAATACTCAAAGTTGATGGAAATGCATTTATATAAGAACTAAGGCATTTTCCTCCCAGTAAATTGTATAAGCTGGTGCGTGGTCATGTGTTGAACACTCTTTTAACTCTGGGAAACACCATGTTACTTTCAACATTTCTTTCTACTTTGTCTAAATAGTAAGCATTGTTAAATACATACCTCTTCCAGAAAGCATGAAAGGTGAGATTTCAAGTAATCGATTAATCAGTCTTGACCAAAATCCCATTGGAAAGTATGGCATTTCATATAACCGAATGATGATCTCAGAGTTCTCACAGTGGGGGAGCTCTATCACAGGCCTGTGGTCAGATAAGCTGTAGAAGGTAGAGGCTATCAGAAACCCAGCATGGCACCTTGAGCCTGTTAGTCTGAGCATGGCAACCTGAGCCTGGTGGCCTGAGCATGGCAACCTGAGCCTGGTGGCCCAAATTTTTCACTGCTTTAAACCCAGGGAAATAACTATTCCACACAAATTGCATTTTTTAATAATATTCTCTTGTCACATGCTCTTCTACGTCAGGAATTTGGAAGTCACTTAATTCAAATGCATGTTCAGATGAAGTAGATGCACAAAAAACTTTCAACAATCCTATGTACACTAATAAATTAATACAATTAGTATAAAAGCAGGTATTACATGAAACATGAAAAAAATGTATGTCCTAGAAACAAGTACATATCAATATTTAGAATTGGTTACATCCATTAATCTATATAATTTGCACTCTTAACACTTTAGTGCATTTCCATTGACAATATAACAAAGCAATATTTCCATTGACAATATAACAAAGCAATATTTCCATTTCCAATGTCATTTCCATTGACAATAATTCCAAAGCAATATAAGAAACTTCTGAAACAGGGTTAGAATATGGTTCTTCACCATGATGCCTATTCTTTTCAACTCTGTTGGAAACTCACTGTCTCCCTTAAGCTTCCCTAACTTAACTGTTTCATTACCAAGTGAAGATAGCTGTGCATTTAACTATTAACTATTAATTATTTAACTATTAACCTCCCTTAAGTAATTTGAGTGCTCTTAAGCCAAATAGAAATTATATGCATAAAATAATTTATTTCCTTAAGATGTTAATCAGCTTCACTCTTTTTCAAAATATGCTATGTATTGCCAGAAAGTTTACCCCCCCCCAAAAAAAATACATCTACTACAGAAAAAAATTACTTTGTCAATGAAAATACTATAATATGGTCAATTTCTGTTGAATTTTTAAGGTCTGTCTTACCTGCTTGGAACCAGCAGATATTCTTCTCCCAATGGCAAGGCAATCTGGAATTTTTCTAATAGTTTAAAGTACTGTGTCATGTAGTTCTTTGGGAATCGCTTTTTCTTTGATAGAAATTTTTCTACATCTCTCCGTGAAATGATGCCTTTCGGGTGCTTCAGACAGCCCTCCACTTTCACTGTCAAAATCTGAAAGATTCCAGCTCATAATTACTAGCATTCATTTTCTGAAATGTCTCCAACTTAAACCACCGCTTGTCCTTTCGCTCAGTGCAAGTAAGGAGAGAAGTTGGAATAAGACAAGATCAAAGATCGAAGGCAGAAGTGCAGCCAGATAGCAAGGCCCAGAGGGATGTCCAATTTGGAAAAGTAAGGGAGGAGGATTCAGTTCTTCAGAATTTTCTTGGTCCCAATCCCCAGCATTCATTCTGCAGTCTCATCACTGACATATTCCTATACATTCCAAGAAATTATCTTCTAGATATTAATCCAGCAGGTTGGCTGTATACATTGACATTTCCATGTTAGGAGGCAGCATCCACCAATGGAAAAGAAGTAGTGTGACCACACCCTGTTACAGGATTCTACTGGTCACTTGTGAGTCTTGGATATCTCCAAGACTGGATATTTACTTGGATATCTCCAAGTAAATCTGGATAGAGGCAGGGGAACCTACCTTTCAACATGCCGCCTCAGTGATTCCCATATGTTTGGGGCATTAGATAGTATCATTCCAGTTAAGAATATGAATGTAGATCTGAAGAACCTAAGTCCAAATGGAGGCTCTGTTACTGTCTGTGGGACCTTGGGAAGGTATCTGGCTTTTTTTGTGTGTGTTTTTGTTTGTGTTTTTGTTTTGTTTTAAGATGGTTTCCTTCTCTGAAATGAGATAATAAAGATGGCTCCATCTTACATTGATAGAGGAATAAACATATTGTATGAAAAGCCCTGTGTGGACCATAGTTACATATTCAATGAACTTCAGATAGGTTTCTTTTTAAAAGATATTTGAGACTGATTTTCTCACACCTCTGTGATGTATAAAGGGTTCCTAAGCAGATGCAAACATTGTCTTTGTTATCTGTTCACTGAGGTATTAGACAGTAAAACTCTGAGGCTTACAGACTTATTTTTTCACCTCTGTCTTTCTATTCCATAAGTGTGATATTTACTAAACCAAGGAAGTTACCACCCATTTAACCAGCTGGTATGTCATGACTATGTCCAATGCGCTTGTGTGTAGGAAAGTGTGTTGATTATGCCTTCTCCTGCCCTTTGTCCTTCATGGTAGTTCCAGATAATTCTTCTAACACAAGGAACGGTCACTGACTACCCCTGAGTTGCTGAGACCTTCAGATAATGTGCTGTACCCAGGCATATGCCTCCCTCCTTACAGCAGGCTGCACCCTCTGGTGTCTCACATGCGTATGCGTTAGTTGTTTTTTTCTCCTTTTCATGTCAGCTTTGTAAGGGGACAGACTGTGCTCTAACCTCAAAAGTAGGACATCTGGAACATGGAAGACACTGAATAAATTTTGTTGAGTTTGTATAATTTGAAAAACTGATTTGGAGCATTTGGTATAGCTCCACTACTTATGTGGAAATCCTAACTACCTTTTTCTGAACTGGTACCTTCAGCCCTCTGTCCACCAACATTTGGGCTAACGAAGTTCCAATTTCGAAACCTGTACTCCACTAACCTGAAAAACCTAAAAGAAATGGGTGAGTTTCTAGATTCAGCCAAACCATCAAATTTAAACCAAGAAGAGTTCAGCTACCTCAACAGACCCATAACAAATGAGGAGGCTGAAATAGCAAAAAAAAAAAAAAAAAAAAAAAAAAAAAGCCCTCCATCTTTAAAAAAAAGGTCTAGGACCAGATGTATACCAAATTCACAGCAGAATTCTACCACATGTTAAAAGATCTACAGACAATCCTTAAATTATTTTTTTAAGGAGAGAAAAGAAAAGAAAAAAAAAGATTCCTTCTAAATCCCTTCTACAAAGTCAGTATCACTCTACTACCAAAATAAAGATATGGCAAAGAACAAAAACTACAGACCAATAGCCTGATTAACATAGACTTAAAATGCTTTAAAAAAAAAAACAAAAACAAAAAAAAAACCTACTTGGAAGCCATAAGAAATTGTTGGTCAGTGTTCTCTAAGAGACTCACAGACTTAACAGGCCGTTGCTATTGCCCGTGGTGGCCCCATTGAGGTAGAAGAAGAGGTAGAACATGTTTTTATTGCTGAAAACATCATGTACTTCAAAGGCAGGGCCTAGAGACCTCTGAGCTTGAGCTGACTTGAATACCTCCTCTCTGAGAACTAGCTCTCATGGTACCAGAAGACACCATTCAAGCTACCAAAGGAGGGAAGCAGCCAACAGTCCTACCCAGCTATGATGCCTAGGAACCACAAGAATGACCAATATGGAACAATAACCAGAGGGATGCCTTAGCACCACACACACCTTAGCAGTAGGCAACAGCTCAGTAGCTGGTATCTTCACCAAGAGGGACACTGTGCCAGCGAACTCCTATGTATCGAAGGAGATGCTACAAACACCCCTTTACTAAACCAGCGTAATCCCTAACTACACTCTAAACATTTGTCCTTATACCCACGGGTGAGTACAGTCCTCAGCGCTCATCTTTGCAACAGATGGAAACCATTACCAAAAACCACAACCAATCCAAATGCAAAGTTGTGAAACCCAGTCTCCATGGATACATCTAAGGAGCAACTCCCACACCTGTGTCTCAGGGAACATCGTAGGAGATGGGATGGGAAGACTGTAGGAGCCGAAGGAGCCGGGCATTTCCTGTGAGACTGTCTCCTAGGAATGTCAGAAGCTGTATCCGTAAAGTCTCACCAACATTACTGAACAAGGATGAAACCAATAAACAAGCTGACGTGGATGGAGCGAAGCTCAGGAGACCTCAACCCTACACAGAGAACTACAGGCAACTAAAGAATGTTAAGAGTGTGAGACTCAGTCTGCCCCAGGGAAGAGCACATTAATTAGCTATCCAATACCAAAAGGTCAGACTTGAAAAGATACATACAAGTAACAACAATGTACAGATGGAGCAAGGTGTATTTAGAAATATATATGTAGACACAGATATATATGTTCGTGCAACAATAATTCATAATAAAATAGAGGCCATGAATGTGCAAGAGCTCAAGGAGGTGTATAAGGAAGGGTTTGGAGGGACCAAAGGAAATGGGGAAATTATGTAATGATATCATAATTTCAAAAGTAAAAGAAGTATTTAGAAAAAAGAAACACTTAGAATTTTCAATTTCCAAGTTTGGGAGTGACCCTTCATACAGTGATAAGATCTGAAATATTATTAGTTTTATCACCTTTAAAGAGTCTATATATCTACCAACTCATATGCTTAAATTACAAACTTTTTCAAACAAGAAGTCTGCATTTCCCTATGTATTTCACCCAGAATAATTCACCATGCTAGCTTGTTAAAGAGCCGCTTGGTTAATCCAATAGGTCTCTTTTGTATCTCTTTATCGCATAGTTAAATGAGTTTTGCAAACATATCCCTACCTTGGCTGAACATTCTTTAATAACTTTCATGGCATACCAGCTCAGAGCACAAATGTGGGTTCATTAGACTTTGCCCACCAGGAAATGAAATCATACCTGTCCTGTCCTTGTGACGCATGGAGGTGAATACCCTTATTTATTTTTGCTGATTGGTATCGTATAAACTTGCTCTTATTTTAACTTGGTTATTTATAGCTACATTCCCTTTATTTCGATGTATCATTACAAACAAAAGTGAACACCTTTGTTGCTTCTGCTAAGAGGAAATTTAAATGATCATTTGGCTGACCTTTTAAATCTTTCATAGTATCTTTGAATTGTTTGAATTCTTGATTTCATTTTCACTTCAAAGCCATGCATAATGACTCACACCTGTAATCCCAGCACTTGGAAGGCTAAAACTTGACTATTGCTGTGGATTCAAATCCAGGCTGGGCTAGGCCAACCTGAGCTGTATAGTCTCTAGGCTAGTCTGCACTACAGAGTGAGACTCTATCTCCCTGACCCCAAATTCACTTACATTAGCATCATAACACTATACCTAGGATAAGAAGAAGAATGTCCAAGAGGTTTCAAGTTAGTTACTCCATAGAATCTCCAGGAACTTTGCTATGATCACAGTAGCAACCTACTTTGGTTTGGTTTGGTTTGGGTTTGGATTTGAGTTGGGGGATTTGTTTTTGCTGGGGTTAAAACAAACAAAACAGTTTTGTTCCCCCAGGTGGTGTTTTGTTGTTTGCTTTCATTTTTGTTTGTGCTCTATAAAAAGGAAAACTGATGCAGACACCTTCCTTACGCTACTCTGTAAGACATGCCCACTTCTAATAACATTATCCACAGATACATGTTAAGTCGCATAGAAACTTACCACTGTGGGTGCAGCTTTCTCCTGCTCTTGTTTATACGGAGTTTCTGTCTGCCGTGGTGCTGCACTTACGCAGCAAAACCAACAGGGTGACTGTGCAGCATGCTTCTGAATAATGCATTCACCCACACATATTTTTATTTGACTCCATATTTGGCACACTCCCCAAAATTACCTTTGTACCTCTGTATTGTCTTCAAAGTTATTTTTAAATTTGCAAAATTAGAACACTTTAAATCATCAGACAGGTCAAATCAGTACTAGATATAAAGCTATAATTTCCTTTCATTTACATTAAATTGGGATTGCACCCCCCCCAAACAAATGTAATTGTCCTTATTTAAGTGAAGATACAAAGGCTAAAAACAGGAAAAACAAGAGGAAATGTCCTATGTAGAATAGATACCAACTCAGGTAATGCTGACTCCATATAAAGTGCCCCTAAGCATGGGACACCACTGACTCCATCACCATGCCCTACATAGTAAATTCATGCCATCTGTGGCTTTTGGGCAGAAATGTGGCAACCAAATTGAAAATATCTACTATTAGAACAGACACACTGCAATTAAATGCCAATTACACTGTTGTTGAAATGTTCTCTCCAGTGCCAGGGGATAGGATTTAGCCTCAACTGAAATTCCCTCTTCAAAATAACTCCCCTTCTATCTTTAAATAGATTTAAACAGTACTATTCAGGATTGCTTAAAGAAATTTAATTAGCATTACGGTCTAATGGAGAAAGATTTCCAATATGAAAATGGATAATCATGTTAGAGACTCAGGAGCCACATGTAAAGCTGTAAATTATTTTCATAAATAAAATAATTACCAATGAATGTGAGAGCTAGAGGCTTCACTCTGAATTCTTCTCAGCCATGAATAAGTGAAACACATTGTGGTCCTTAGCTATTGTGGACCTGTACCCCTCAGCACTATTTAGAAATGTCCACACAAATCTTTCCTTGTCAAGGCTGATACAACTGTAACCTAGAAAGCAGGGAACAAAATGAT